AAAAAAAAAAAAAAAAATTCAATCTAAAAATATTTGAAAGGATTTGAGGGACTTTGAATTTGTGAAACAACCTTGAAACAGTAGAAGAGTTAAATTAGAGGGGATTTCTCTCTGCAAATGCATTAGAATGAGCTAAAATAAAATATGTAAAACTAAACTTGGTCTATTTTTTCCTGGATTTTTGTTTTGAGGTTTTAAAATAACATTTTTGAATTCTTACTGTAGGTTTAAACATGGCTGATATTAAAAAAGAAATACATCTTGTGTCACCCCCAAAATAATACTACAGTTGCCATGTCATGAAAAATAACACTACAATTATTATGTCATCAACTGTCAGGTTTTCTTTTTTCCTGCTACTGTATCATAATTAGCTTCATCACATAGGCTTAATTATATTAGGTGAACTGAAATGTAGCAATGTCAGCTACCAGGTGAGCATGGCTACTTCTGAAGTTTTAAAATCTTGAACATGCGCCGCTCACTCAGAACTAGTGCAAGCACTCTCACCTTCCTTCTAGGACGTAGTAGATTTTCACCTTTCCCCAAATCCTCCAAGATGGTATCTGAAATTCTACAGACATTCCTGGAAACTTTTGTTTTTTAATACTGTTTTAAAATTTCAATAGTAATGCAATTTGTTCTACCACTCTATAGCTTAGGGTCTCTTCTGCCGTATTTGTAAATGTTTAATTGCCTTTTAAAAAAATGTAAAATGCTCTTACCAATATTCTCTGTTCACAAGGAATTTAACTTGGCTTTTCTGCTGGAAGCCTATTGTTTCCTTTAGTGTTTTAGTTGGGACATGACTACTGAGTCAAAATGTTGGGCTGTTACGTATACCTCCTTTTTAACTTTTGGTTTCTCATACTTTTCTTTGTAACAATATATTTAATTTGAATGAAAATGTATGTGTTGAATATATCCTGAATGCATTATTCTGGAAACTCAAAAAATTCTGTATTATTGAAATTATGATTTGGGTCTTGTCAAAGTTACGTTTCATAAGTGTTTAAGAAAGTGGAAACAAAACATTTTTAATTACTATATTCTTGTTGCTTTCACGCACATTATCTTAATCATTCTATGACCTTATTAGCAGTGCGGTTTTTTTTTTCTTTTAGTTTTTTTATTGTGCTAACATTGGTTTATAATGTATGAATTTCAGGTGTACGTCATTATACTTGTATTTCTGCACAGATTATGTCATGTTCACCACCCAAATACTAATTACAATCCATCACCACACACCTGTGCCTAATCATCTCTTTCTCCTCCTCCCTCCCCCCTTCCCCTCTGGTGATCACCAATCCAATCTCTGTCTCTATGTGTTTGTTGTTGTTTTTTTAGCAGTGCATTATTATTCTAGTTTTATAGATCTAAGTACTGAGATTGAGGAATCTATAATAATTTATTCAATATCTCATAATTAATAAATGATAGAATTGTTGTTTTTCTGACTCTAGTTCCAGTGCTCTTCCTTGTACTATTATTATCTCACATTGAGAATCTTTACATATAGGTACTTAGTGTGTTTTATTCACAAAATAAATTTGAATGAAAACAATCTAGATCAGATAATTAGTAAAAAGAAAATATTTCCCTACTATATATAACCAGTAAACATTTTGAGCTCAAATGTATTATTTTGCTTTTTATTTAGGAATTTTAAAAATTTGAATGTGTTCATATTATTTCATATTAATGAAAAATTCATCACCTTATATACATGTACTTTTTCCTCTGAGCAGCTTAAAAATAGTAGATACCTCCTATATATTATGATAGGAGTTGGAAAATCCCAGATGTGCTGTTTGGTTTTTCCATTTACCTTTCCTATGCGTTCCAGGGACACTCTCGCTTGCTTTCACTCATTTCAGTCCCTGATACTTAAAGGGAGGCTAAAAAGAGGCAGGAGAAAGATTGCACATCTTTCTCCCCTTTGAGATATTGTAAACTGTTTCTCCGACATTGACATGATTTTTGTCCTAAAATCAGGAAATGAATCTCACGTGAAAAAGTGCAGCCCATCGTCTGGGTTATTACCTTCTAAGTAGTCCAAGTTGCAGAGTTCATCTAAACTAAACATCTTTGATTGAATTGTTTTTTCTATTAAAAATTCTGTGTTCCAGAATACTTCTTGTTTATAGGCCATTCCCTCTTACTGCACAGAAGTACTGAGTCAGAATGCCAGAACTTCAGCAGCAGCATGGTTTTCCAACAGACCATCCATAGCTGCAGAAGACTAAGATTTAAATAGCGAAGTCCAACAGAATAAATGCCAAAGGCTTCTTTCTTCCATTACACCTTCCTCCATTCTTTGGAGAGAGAATTGATGCCTTTTAGTGGTTTTAGGAAACAAAGAAACTCTTTATCAGCATGTTGAACCGTCACTTTGGGCATAACTGTTCTCTAAATTAAGTTAAACATTTTTTTCTTACCTATTTAAAACATTAATGCCTTGGCTATAATTTTGCAAGCTTGCTATATTTTAATTTCTCCAGGACAGTATAATCAGTTTATTTTCTTATGTTTTGAATTTGATTCTCCCCTCTTATGCATTGCATATTATAGCAAGTAGTAATAGAAGTTAGCTAAATAGGCTGTGACAATTAAATTAATAATGCATTTTGTTTGCAAGTATTTAGGCCTTGTGCTTTGACTGATATATGCAAAAATGATAATTTATTACAAATAAATTCATATACTTGCACTATAGTTTGATCAACTAATAAATTTTGTCAGCATGACTGTCATAAGCAACAGAAATCTAAATAATTTCAAATATATGGTTTTTGACTCCATGAACCCGTGAAGTGATGGCTTTTGTAAGAACATACTTTTTTGTCCCTAAATTTGCATGAACTTGTTTTAAGGTAGTAAATTACTGTATTACTGAAGTTTTGTACACTTAAATATAAACACTAAATATAGCCACATTAAATTTACATTCCAAAATAATAAACTCCAATTAATTTGCAAGTTCATTCTAAAGTAGTCTCTATTTTAAATAAGTAATTCTCTTTGTAATATAGTATGCCCAAGTATCTTTATGACTCTTTGAATTCACTAATAGTAATCTAGAAAACGAGCTTATCCACAATTATCACAATTGAAACAGCCATAATAAGTATATCTTATGTGAAAGCCAGGTGCATATTACGATAGAAGGAGATGGCATTTGTAGTTCCATGCGTGGAAATCAGCTGGGCTTTGAATGACTGTGTAAATAGGAGGAGGGGAAAACGATTCACTCAGAATTTCTGATCTGATTCATTGCTTTTGTGGTGTCAGGAACACCATCAGGAAGTATCTGCTCTGGCAGCATCTCAGGAGGGCTGATGTGCCCCCAAACCACTTCTACCAATAAATGATTTTAAATTGGGTGTGTGCATTAGAGAGCCTAAGAGTTAAACAATTTCATAATCAAAGGAAACATACCTGTGTTTTCAAGTTATTAATGGATATCCAGATCAAAACCTTAGTATTTTTTCAATGAAGCAAATTTTGGAGGAGTCTCTGAAGGTTGTAATTCTCAGATAGTGTGTTATTGTCAGCATCGCTGTGGGGTGTGTTCAGACCCCTGAGGGTGGGCTCATGGTTGGTCAGTGTCTTGTTTAGGCCAGTGGGTTTCCCCTAGGCCTCCTTCACATTACTGAGCCCTGAAATTTGTTCTGGCTTCTCCTCTGTTATCAGACATTGGGGATTTATAGTTAACCATCTTTCTTTTAACAGTACCTCTGATCTTATTGATTAGTAAAATCTTTCTTCCACATTTTTATATATACCAGATATCACCTAGGCTAATTGTGGGCTAGAAATACTGGTAGCTCTGATACTTGGTTCTAATTTGTTGTAAGTGATTAATATATTTATGACATGACATTGTGTAAGTCTTTTGGAGTCTATCTTGTCTTCTTCCCTTTCTCTCTTTTCTCAAAAACTTGTATATGTTAAAATTGTATGAAAGCATCATCAGTGTTTCCTGTTTTTCAGTTTAGATGTAAGCCTCACTCTTTTTCTTGAAATATGAAAATATCATCCCAAACTCAAACATTCCTGGGAAAAGCATGGATGCATGTACACGCACAGTTGTTATTGAAGCTCTGCTAACGATACTTTGGGTTGATTAGAAACTTAGGTTACTTTTTAAATGAGAGAATAATACATTTTATAAAAACCCTGAATTACATGTATTTAAATAGACTCAATTTTTTCCTATCAGAAGAGGTTCTATTCATAGTATGAGATTAACTCCTGTTATTGTCACTTTATTGTCCATTTAAAAAAAATAACTTGGGGCTGGCCTGGTGGCATAGCGGTTAAGTTTGCGTGCTCCACTTCAGCTGCCTGGGATTCGCAGGTTCAGATCCCAGGCGTGGACTCAGGCACCGCTTCTCAAGCCATGCTCTGGTGGCATTCTGTATAAAGTAGAGGAAGGTGGGCACGGATATTAGCCCAGGGCCAATCTTCCTCGGCAAAAAGAGGAGGATTGGCATCGGATGTTAGCTCACGGCTAATCTTCCTTCCACAAAAAACAAAAAAACAAAAAACTTGCCTTTGGCTAAGTTGTTATTATTACA